ATGACAGAAATTTTCAAATTGCCACTAAAAGTGCTTGCAATGTTTGCTTGGTTGCCAGCAGAGACGTCGCGTCGAGTGCGGTTGGTTTGATTGTTGTTGTTGGTTGTTGAATCGCGTGAATCTCTTGAAATCGCTGTGCCAGAAAAGTTCACTCACCAGTTGTTACTCACAGAGTAGTAGCAGAGGAGCTAAATATTGGTGAAAAATTCAGGTTATTTTCAAATACATACACACTTACATGTATTATAAATACAAATACATCCTCACACGCACTTAAGGATACTAACATTCTCAGTCAATTTATTTGTATGTAATTTTGATTGCCACAAGCTATTGAAATGCTTATGTATGTATGAATTTCGTGAAAATTGTTAAACCGTAAATTGACTTTACTTGACTTGAGGGAGTTGAAGTTTTCCAAGCAAGCAATCGTTGGCCAATAAGTGGGTTGTCTAAGAAATCAAATAAAAATTATACAATTAAATTGTCGAGCACAATGTGTTGTATGTATGTAGAAAGGACGAAAGGACACTTCAATATATTTCTATTTTATTTATTTTTCTTGGATTTTCTGCTCCCATTTATTGATGGGCGTATTGGTGTCAGCTTATTGAGTTTATGTTGTGTTTTCAATTACAATTTCGATAATGTAAGTAAATACAAATAAATTGGCGGCTTTCAGTAAATAAATATATATTTTTTTAAATTCAACGTTCTTCAGACTTACTCCATTATTAGCTTTTAACTAAGTTGTAAAGAATGTGTTGGAGATAAGCAACGCAAGAACGTGAACTAAGCAGAGAGGATTGGTAGCATTTCAAAATTCAAAACCTCTTCCCTACACGTCCCCGGTCAACTAAAAAGTGCTGTGCTTTGCATTGAAGTTGGAATAAAATTATCCCAGATGCTTTGGGTTTCTAAGCATCTTCTTCTTTCTTTTGAAAACACTTTAGTGACTAAGCAGTACTTGAAATTTTAATGTCCTAAAAAGCTATAGAGAGTTTGCAGGCGGCTTAGTATAAACTGTGCAGCCCTCTATTTGTTAGGAGAACATCAGAGGTACACCATAAATTAGAGGACGGGCCCAGCCGAAAATCGTTTCAACAGCTATAAAGCACAAATTATATATATTATACTTTCTTATATCGTTGGGATTAATTTGAGATCACAACAATAACACCCACATATCATTACATTTTCTCAATCGAACTGCAGTGGAGAGAGCGCAGAATTCCTGCTAGCCAAAGTTGCAATTAAAAACCTTCTCATTGTGAGAGGGATACAGAGAGTTGAAATAAGAAGCTTGACTCCTACGCAGGCAGTTTGAGAAGATTGCCGCCGGGAGCGATATTCGAAAATTCTACGAAAATAAAGAGCAGCGAAGAGTGGATGCATCAGCTTCTTTGCAGAAAATGGACGGACGAAAGCATACCTAAGAGGGTTCTACATAGTACATAACAACGACTGCACCCATTACCGTGAGATTAGTCTGCTGAATATAAAATTATATTTAAAGACTCATCAATCGTATACCTTAGTCTGTCTAGTAACCAGTCTGGCAGACTTACTCTTGCCAACGGGTACTGCTTTGGGTTCAGCAGCTCATTGACAAGTAAAGTCTTCTCTCGATGAACAAAATCCAAATTCTGAAATCCATTAAACATTCTCGACAACCGTCGGGAGAAATGTTTTGAAAAAGATTTTAAGTCTTTTATTTATTCGCAATGGTGAATACCAAAGGCGATGCGGCGATGATATAATATATGGAGCAGAAGGGTATATATATGTATATTATATAATTGGCGCCTTGTAACCGCTGAAACGGTTTTCCGCCGTAATACACTTGGAGGGGTTGGCATTCCCTGCCGAGGGGAGACCGCAATTAGAAAATTTTACTTAATTTTTTATTTAAATTAAGTTTCTATTTTTTTATTTTATTTTTTTGATGTTGGTCGCTTGGAGATTTAAACCCGATTTTTCCGAATAGCAGTATACAGTAGGGTATACAGTATCGATTAGTCGGATTAAGAAGCAGAAGAAAATAAAAAGTAAGACCACCACTGAGTTGGCTTCACAAGGTTTCCCTAGTTGGAGAGAAGAAACGATTGGCGCTTTGTTTTTGATTCGGTTCTAATCGCTCAAGCAGTGCGTATGCCAGCAAAGAAGAAGAATCTCAAATTAATTATTTCCCTGATTTGATATTTATTATTAAGTTTGATATGTTGTATAGTGTTATTAATTTGCTACTAGTTTTCCTTTAAAATGTGAATCACATTTCTCAATAATAAGACGAATAAAATTGCTGAATAAATCTATCTGTATGCAAAATCCCAATTAAATATTCCTTTTTTACTTTTTAAATAAATTAATTTAATTGCACTTTCGAAAAAATCCACTCATACATAAATATGAAAAGTTTTGACCTGGAATTTACGAGGTGTGTTGTGGGTTTGACAAAGTCATCTGGTAGAAAAAGAAGTACACACGGGGCTGATATATTCTAAATACAAATTTTTATGTTTATGGGGCACACTTAGTATAATGACCTAAAACAAGGTGATTTTTGGGTATGTTTTTAAAAAAAATTTTATCAATTATGTTAAGAATATATTTATACATGTTTCAAGAATATACAGTGAAATTTTTGAAGAAAAATTTTAAATAATTTTTAAGTTACGGCGCAAAAAAATGACCTTCGCTACTACAGTGATTCCAGCCTTTTCCGTGGATAAAATCTAAAAAAATAATTCTCGATAAGATAATATTGTTTGTACAATGCCCTACGATAAAAAAAATCAAAAATATAAAATATGGCGGCGTTTTAAAAAATAGTCGAATTTTACCCAAAATTTTGGTCGTTTTTGGCGTGAGTTTTTGTTCAGATCAAAAATCGATAGGTCATTGTACGGAGAACTATATATAGAACATGTAAATAAAATTCGGTAGTGATCGGACAATTTGTTTTTGAGTAATCACTGCAGCAAATTCGGAAAATGCTGTTTTGAGAAAAACGCGTCTAAAATAAAAAGATCGTTTTCACTCGTAGCTAATGAGCTAGAACCGATCTATTAAAAAAAAACTATTTGTGGTCTACTTTTGGTTAATACTTGGAATTTAGATTGCTTTTTTCCTGCAAACAAGAACCGATCTATTTAAAAAAGCATATTTAGAGGACGATTGGTTTATTTGGAGCATATTTCCCTAAAATAATATGCGGTAGCCGAGCGGTTAGCGTTGCGTATTGCCATTCAAAACAGCTTTCAAAAGTTAAGGAAAATTAATTTAAATAAAAAATTAAATTTGATTTTCTGATTGCGGTCGCCCCTCAGCAGGGAATGTTAACCCCTCTAAGTGTGTTTCTGACATGAAATAAAAGCTCCTCATAAAAAACCATCGGCCTTTCGGAGGCGGCTGAGTATAAACTGTAGGTCCCTCGGTTTGTTAAAAAAACACGAATTAATATGCGAAAACTTATATGTTGGAATTATAGAGAAATTTAAAAATTAAAAATATTTGTGTATGTATGTGTGCCGCAATAAAATAAGCTTAAAAAATAAATACATCTTAGAACCACTTTAATTTCCATGCGGACGAAGTTGCTGGTAAAATCTAGTTTTTATTTACTATTGATGAGTGCATAAGTTCGTGCCCGATTTCAAGTGCAAACTAAAATTGAAATTTTTTGAAGAAAGCGCTTTTATTAATCAATTATGTATTCGCCATCATGTTCGGCAATCCACTCCCAACGTTCAACCAATTTACGGATGCCTGATTCATAGAAATCGCGTGGTTTCTCGTTGAAAAAGGTGTCGAGGTGGTTTTTGACGTCTTCCACATTTTTAAATTTTATTCCATTCAAATTGTTCTGTAGCGATCGAAACAAATGATAATCAAACGGTGCAATGTCGGGTGAATATGGGGGATGGTGCATGATTTCCCAATTCATCCCCTTCAGTTTGGTTTTGCAAAATGTGGCCTGGCGTTGCCATGATGGAAAATAACTCCTTTGCGGTTGGCCAAAATCGGACGTTTTTCATCAATTGCTTTCTGCAATTCGGCCAATTGCTGACAATACTTGTTGGCAGTGATCGTTTCTCCAGCTGGCAAGAGCTCAAAATAGATCACGCCTCGGATATCTTACCAATGCACATCAGTACCTTCATCGGATGCAATCCACCTTTTCGACATCGGTACCGCCCCTTCGTGTGCCTGTTTCCATGTTCTTTTGAGTTGAACATTATTATACAGGATCCATTTTTCATCACCAGTCACGAACCGATCCAAAAAAGGTTCGTTTTTGACCCGTCGAAGCAAAGAAATTGCTGTTGACTTACGGTCCACTTTGTTTTTTTCACTCAACTGATGTGGCACCCATGCATCGAGCTTCAAAGTGTACCAAACCTTTTTTAACCGACGAAACGCAGTTGATTTGTTGACGTTCAATTCAATGGCAAACTTTTCCGTCAAAATGCGTGAGTTATTCGCAACTAAAGTCCTTACAACATCGTCATCAGGCTCATAAGGCCGTCCACTGCGAGGTTGATCTTCGAGGTTAAAATCTCCAGAACGAAATTTCGCGAACGATTTCTTTACTGTGCGGAGTGCTGGAGCACGGTCCAAATAAACTTCGCGAATATCTTTAGTTGCAGCTTCTACTGTTTTCCTTTGCGGAATTCGTATAACATAATATGACGCATATGATTTTTTTCGTTGTCCATCTTCCATGCGTCTTTTCACTAAGCAACTCAAATCAAAATGAAATTATTTTATGCTTGATTTACAGTTACAGTTATAATATGTATATATTTCTTTCACGAGCGCCACTCTCAAACGATTCGAACGGCATCCAGTGGAATCGGGCACGAACTTATGCACTCATCCAATATAATAAAATAAATATAAATAATATAAAACGAACCACATATTTACTTGTATACATAGATACATAAATATTTTCCTGCCCAAACTAATATTTGTATTTAACTTTCTTCTATTTCCAGGATTATGTCACCGAATTGAAGGGAATCGGCTTATGTGTGGTGAATTTGATGGATGATATGCACGAATATATGCGCGGACTGTTCCTGTTAATGTGAGTATACCGTAAACTAAAATACTGCATTTTTGGTTTCAAATCTTAAGTCTGCAGAATAGATGGTTTATGCACTACATATTGAAAAAAAAAAACAAAAATCTAAAATAATTTACGGTATAAAATTCGCATTGACACGATACCGTGGCTTTCTGTATTTTGTCCAATTTTAATTCATTTGGTATTGCAAAGGACGTTGAAAAGATCCTAATTAAGCGTCATCTGAGCTAAAATATCATGATTATTTATTATATTATATTTAACTTTAATAATTATTATTGACCGATGTACATTTTTGTCAAAATAAACGTAAGATTTTGCCACCATTTATATAATAGTTGACAACCCTGAAAACACATAGGCAACTGACAGTTTAAGCTTAGTAAAAATGGAGCGCTACCGGATGAAAATAAAGTGCCTTTAACTGGACGAAATAATTTTTTTTTAATCGGACAGTTGTGAAGAGATTAATTGAAAGCATCCGTGAGGCAGAATTTATTGGAGATGTCAAATTCGCTGGTCGTCCAAAAACAAGTCATTCAAATAAGAATATCGGGACAGTGCGTGAGCGTGCCGGTGACAATTCGACGTCCTGGAGAAAAATTGCATATTTTATGAAGCTCTCTACAGCTTATACTCTCTAAAGACTTGCATCTCACTGCTTAAAAAACTCAGTCTGATGACCATGCACAGCGCAGAGAGTTTATGGAATGGCTTTTTGAGCAACAACAAAATGATGCTGAATATTCGATAAAAATCATCCTAAGCGATGATGCACATTTTCACCTTGATGAATGTCTTAATGGCCAAAATTTCCGCTCTTAGGGTTTTAAGAACCCACAACGTGTCACTGTTTGGTATGGATTTCGGACTGGACGTACCACAGGACCATATATATATAGATATATATTTGGCGCTTTATACTTGTTGAAACGATTTTCGGCCGAGTTCCTTCTCCAATTTGTGGTATGCATCTTGATGTTTTCCCAACAAATGGAAGCACCTTTAGTTTATACTAAGCCGCCTCCGAACGGCGGTTGGTTTTATTTTTCATGCCAGAAATACAATCGGAAATACATTCGCTGACTTAGCGATCGCCATGAGTAAATTTAACTTAATTCCTTATTTTAATTAATTTTCTATAAATTTAGGATGTTGGTCGGATCAGAACTTTTCTTAAAATGAGACTGGGCAAGCAATAATGACATAGTGACTTAGTTCGTTTTCCCGAAATTGGTTGATATTGATGTGAGCATTATGTGGTATGACAGTGCCAGATGTCACTCAGCCCCTGAAACACTTTAATTACTACGTGAGACATTTTCAGGTTCGGCACTCTCTCTTTGTGGGGATCAGAATTGACTCCCTGAAACGTGTAATTTAACACCATTCGATTTCTATTTGATTTAAATTACAGGTCTATTGCAAAAAACCCGACCCCACGCGTAGAAATTCAGCCACATCTATGCAGAAGAGTCAAGGAAAATGTATGCAAACGAATTTTATAATAAAATCTTTCTTATTTCATTCCAACCTTGCATTAATTTCGAGACGCCCTTTTATATATATATATACTTCTCCACTGTTCAAAGTCTTTCATGAAAATGTCATGACGAATCCCTCGAAGTTAGTCAAACGCACCATTCTGATCTGCGTCTATTCACACTGAAGTTGAAGGTAACCCGAACATACCAACGCACGATCTATGCAAAAACCCAAGCAATAAAAGTTTTACTCAATTTCTCGGTGATCCCCTTGCCGCCAAAGAAGGTATGATTTATATTTCGAGCAAATCGAACTCGATTTCAGGTCTCTGGTCCTTTTTCAGGAAACAAAAGTTCTCCTTTTGGACATATCTTCCAAAAATTTACTACACCGAAGCATGAATATGCATGAATATACGAATATTTGTTTAGAAGAAGCAAAAGAACTTCATGTAAAAGAACTATAAGGACGATTTTGTTTCGCAAAAAGCTACCTTTGTACCGAATTTCAAACAAATCGATAGATAAACACAATCTTTACGAATGGGTCAGTCTCTGGTCCATTCTCCGAATTTTTTCTTCTGTAATATTTTTGTAGTTTTGCGGATGCTTATAAACGAACAAGAGATTTAGATATAAAGGGGTTTCTAATAAGAGGTGTTATTTTGAATAGCCGGATATTCCGGTAGATGTCGCTTTTGAAGCTGCAATTTTTTGATGCGGACACCTCGGTGGCTTAGAAACCCCCAAAGATTTATTTTAGAAAAGCCTCTCGAATGGTTTGTGCTATCGAGAGATGAAAATGATTATTTATGTCCGGAATTGAATTGTTTTGATCTGAACAACGTTTACTTTCAACAAGGCGGCGCTGTGTACCGCATAAGCAATGAAATCCCCGATCCCTTGCAGGGAAAAGATTTCGGACTCTCTGTTATCTCTCGACGATATCATGGCAATTACCCACAAAGGGTGAAAGCTAAAGTAATACACCAACAGGCCAGAGTTGATTCAAAGATAGAACTTGTAATGCTATTGAGGGCATTCAGTAGCCACTTTGCTCTTTGGCGATAGAAAATTTCATTAAAAGGATACGGTCATGAAAGCGTAGTCGTGGCGGTCATTTGGTTGATAACACGGAACGACACGATTTTGTAACGAGAAACGGAACTATACTTTTTCGAAGGTTTTTAGTGTGCTGTGATCTGGATTCAAAACAGTTTCAGTTAAGTTAAGTTGAGATATTCCAACCTAAAAGTGCAAAAACACATTTTCCTAGAAAAGAGATTTTTTCGGAATCATTATTCTACCTGAAATTATCACTTTTACTCTTCAAAAGCCATTTTGAATCTTGGAAAAAAATTTTTTTTTGCCACTGAGAAATTGTATATAGAATTTACTGAGCTTGATAAATTCGTAAATTTTCAGATATTGAGTACAACTAAATAAGACTTTGAAAATGGTGAGGAAAATAAGTACCATTGCTCGAGTTTTGAATTTTCTTGAGAGTTTTGATGTTGCTGTCATAAAATCCGACATCAATAACCTTCGGAAAAGTATACTCCAGTTCCTGGTTATATATGAAATATTTTAAATTATGTTGGTAATGTTTTCCGTTATTAATGGCATATCACTCTCTTTACATTGAAGCAAACATCCGCTCATTTATAAAAAAAATGCATAAGAGCTCGAGAGTTTATTCCAATATCTTTGACCAGCTCGTGCTTTTAAGGACGAGTACTCGTTTATTGCTCATCGCTTGAAAATTTTAGAACAGGAAATGGAGTAATATGAGAATTTCGAAGAAAACATCTTGCATTTTTCTCTGAACTGTTTTTGGATAATTTTAAATTTATTTATGCAAAATGTATAATTCAATGAAATTACATAAGAAATTTTGTTCGACAAAATTTTAAACTGAAAATTTTAAAAACAAACATTTTAGCCGTTGAGCAGAGAACGTGTATCGAGTTGCTCGCTCTATACGATAACCGGATATCTAGGGCAAGATAAAAAAAATTCTGTACGGTAGTTTCACGTCGAAATTTTTGACACTAAACGTGTTTGCTCAGAAATTATTGATCTTGCCACTTAAAAAATTTTTGAATTGGATAATTTTTAATTATTTTTAGGGTTATTTTCCAAGCAGCTGCTATATTGAATACTCGTATGGATTAATTAAATATTGGTTTCAAAGTGTTTTTGATAGGCGGCAAAAGTAAGAAAAGGATTTGCTTGATAGATAAATAATATGGGAAGAATTGCAATTTTTAATTTTTATTCGAATCTTAGGCTTTTATGATTTTCTTAACTATAAGCCAAAAGTCCGTGGTTTGGGGTTCTGTTCATAGGGACACGCCGGGATCAGTGGGATCGATGAGCTGACCGATAAACGCTGTGGTCCCTAATCGATTTCTCGGAAATTTCTTTTTCTATTGCTTAGCATAGCTTGCATGCTTAGGGATCATTCATCTCCTAAGCTTCGTAAACTGGACCAATTGGTTTGAGCATATGGAATGGTGAGAGGAATCTTTTTCATGGAACCAACATAGGAATCATCAAGAGGGTTGCGTGAACGAACAAGCTGTTTATTTAACTAATAGACGAGTATCAATAAATTATGTGGTTAGTTTGAATGAAAAAGCATTTAATTGACTTCAAGGGTAATTATATTGGGAGTATGCATTAATTCGTGCGGTTTTCTAAGAGAGGGCTCTACTAGTATTATTTCGCGTCGTTTTCATCTGTGGCTATATTCATTTCAAAGTCACTCTCATTTCGCGTCGTTTTCAGTAGATGTCATTTGCTTTAGCGTGAACAACAATTTCTTTAATTTTTTTGGAAATGTCGAAATTTGTACCAGATAAAGTGTTTTTGCGGGGAGTTCTTTCTTAATATAATACTTTAACATGAAAAAAAGTGCCACCGAAAGCCATCGTATTTTACGGGACGTTTAAGGTGACCAAGCTTTAGCTGAACGAACGTGCCAAAAGTGGTTTACACGGTTTAAAAGTGGCAATTTCGACTTAGACGACGGACAGCCAAAAAAAAAATCAAGACGAAGAATTGGAGACATTGCTCGACGCAGATGCATGCCAGACGCAAGAAGAACTTGCAAAAGTATTAGGAGTTGATCAAGCAACCGTTTCCAGACGATTTAAATCATTTTTTTACAATAAAGTCTTAATTTTCGGAAAAAAATCCGCACGAATTATTGCATACACCCAAGAAGATTTGTATAATGACTAAGCACTGCTCTAAAAATCAACAATTATTTAAACAATATCCTGTTTGCTCACAAAATTTCTTCGAAAAAACTCTAAAGCTTTTAGACTAATTTGAATTCGAACGTTAATATAGGAAATGCAGGCAGCTCCTCATCTTCTTGAATTCGACTAAAATTTTGGCGGGCGAATCTCTTCCCTTTTTAACGCTTCCTTGTAATTTATTAAAGTTGTAATACAAAACTCATGAAAGGCATACACTTGATGAAGTCCACCATCAGGAATTTGGAAAATACGTGATTTTTGAATATTTGAATATTTTAAAAAATATATGAAAATATTCTTAATATTTTTTATTTTAAAATGGTAGATTTTTTAAGCGAAGGAGGGTAGCACGAAAAAGCCGAAATGTGTTTGATGTGAGACAGCTATGAAACCGACTGTGCAGAGAGAATGAAACTACCTTTTAATTATTGTATCATGATAAATAAATATAATTGGCGCTTTTTAACCGCTGAAGCGATTTTTTGGTCGAGCTCCTCCTCCAATATGTAGTTTTGCGTCTTCATGTTTTCCCAACTTATGGAGGGACCTACAATTTATACTAAGTCGCCTCCGAATGGCTGATGGTTTTCTTACAAGGAGCCATTTTTCATATACTCGGAGGGGTGGACAGTCCCTGCCGAGGGGCGACCGCAATTAGAAAATTTAGCTAAATATTCAATAACTCTTGGATGTTGGTGGCAGCGAGTCTTCCGAGTGTCAGTACGCAATGCTAACCACTCGCCTACCGCGGCCGCCATGATATACAGATAGATAATATAAAATCAAGTCAAAACGAGAAACAAATTTAAGAATTTCATATGTCAAGTATTAATCAAAACGCCATTTATCACAAAGTGATAATGTAATAAACATACATATGTACACATAAATATTTTCTGATTCTTCCGCACAATTACCTGTCCATTATTTTGAAGCACCCACAGTTTGGTCAATAAAAATTTGTCAGTGTATTAATACGCTACAGAGTCAATCTGCCAAGTGGCCAGAAGTAAACCATAATTTTTTGCTTAATATTACTTGAATCGTGGCCATAAAGAGCGCTCGCCTGGCAGAAACCCACACAATGCCCGTACGAATACATATGTACTTGTACATGCATACATATATATTTTATTTATTTATTTCTTCAAATGCAATTTTTTTGAAAGCAAGACCACCAACTCAGCGCTTGACTGGACTCTACTTCTCCTACATACGTACATAAATACGTATACGTGTACATATATAGATGTGGCATAATCTCTACAAACAGCTACAACTGTGCCTTATAAAGCTTGCCACTTAGTATGCATTTATATTTGAATTTCCCTGCAAACTCAGGCCAATTTGATTTATGAGTTTTGGCAAGTCATTTAAACTTCTTGTACGCCAGTGCATAAAGATGTTTAAAAATCCTTTGGATAAGCTCAAATATGTCTCAGAATATGCTTTTTTTGTTTCGCTTTACCTTCGCCACGCAACATTTAATACATAGATATTATACCGTTATAAGCGACAATTTGTTTTTATTTATTACATACATTTGCGCCTTTCCCGCGCTGTAATCTCTTTGGCTCCTCTATTATGCGTGTTCCTTATTTTGCGTTCCTTGTCATTCTCTTCTTCTGTTGTCCTACTAATTTATCACATTTTATTTTACAGGTATTGCGCACCCAGCATCCTTTTGGCTTACCTTTACATAAGAACCTCACAGGAGCTGCGTCCGCCGGATGGACCATTTGCCGTAATGATGTTTGAGCATCGAGCGGATATGAGGAATCGTCAGCGGTATGTATTAACTGTAACATGAAATATGTGTAAATGAGTGTGCAGATGTATGTGTGTATACGGGAATAGACTATTAAACGAGTATTGGTAAGCTGGGAAATGATGCTTCATTATTTGGGTTTGGTGGACTGCTGTGTGTGTGGGAAGAAATGATCCACTAAAGGCGTTCTCTTCTTTGTTATCTCAGAATGTTTGCTTTGTCAGCTCACCAATACAGTTGAGATTGCTCACTGAAACCATTCGCATCCTAAAACATCATCGAAATCGCAGTATAGTTGATGATCCGGCAAGTACTAGAGAGAAGCCCATCGTGATGCAGATTATCGGCTGAGGAGACATACGAAATAACTTAGTCTCATCGTGAGAGTTAAAAGTGCTCTGAAACCTTCTGCTACAGCTCGGAATCAGACTTCATATTGAGCTTGTAAGAGATTAAGTTAACTTTCATTTCTGCTTCTTCGGCACCGCATAGAGCTAAAATAGCGTAACTTTTATCCCTTCTTTTCGTTTTTTTTGTCGCCAATTTAAATACCAAGTGACACCGGAATGCTATTCACCTGATCCTTCCAAACGGCTTCCACCGGCAAGTACTGCATCGAATATTCTCAAAGCTGGAGTGTTTTAATCCATTCGGACGATACTTATCGTATAATTTGTATGCGCAGTATGCAGTATATAGTTCGCAAAACTTTTCTCTCGAAGACTCCCTACCTGATGTCTACATCGTCCACGGTTCCAAATCATGTAGATGGTGGACTTGTAAGTTTTCTATTTGTTCATCGAGAGAGGACTTTACTTTGTAATTGCCTACTCAGTCCATAGTGGAGATTGCCGAGTTGTTAGCATAGCATACTGCAATTCTGAAGACCGGGGTTCGAGTCCTTTTCCAATGAACGGCCAAAATTACAGTAAATAAATTTTTCTAATTTTATTTTACACTCGCCAACGAATACTAAATCCAAAGAATATTTTTCTGATCTGAAATAAAGAGTCCTCGTAAAAAACCATCAACCGGAGGCGGCTTAGTATGAGCTGTAGGTCCCTCCATTTGTTAAACAAATATTAAAAAAAAAAATAACACAAATTTCAAAAGAAGCGCGGCCGAAAATCGCTGCAGCGGATACAAAGGGCCAGTTGAATCTTGGCTTGGTATGGAACGGCTCGGAGAGGTATCTGCCAATTCCGACTGTGCTCCTGGTTTTTTTGCATTGGACACTACAATTTGAGCACCAACATGTGACGTGCGACGAACGCAGTTCTGAATGGAAGAATGCCTTTTTGAAAGAAAAAAGTTTTCTATATTCGCTCTAATCGAAGTCTCTGTTCTTATGTGCGTAGATCCGTGTCACTTTTCTCGTTACTCGACACCTTCTCAAAGCACAGGGAAAGAGTGTTTGATGAGCAAAACTCTCTGATGTCTACGTTCATTTCGTAGACAGCCGGGTGTGTGTCTTGGCTAAAAAGATTCGCGAATAGTGCGTGCAACTTAAATACCGACGACTTGATTGGCGACTTTTACAACATGATCGATTTGATTTTACTGCAAAGTGATATTCTTGAAAAATAATATACTTCAGCGTGTGGGTTAGTCGTTCACCCTGAAACCGTTCTAACTAAGGTGATAAATATACATTCTACAGCTCACAAAAGTAGATGCAAGCCTGAAAGACATGTATGTAAGTACATTCCAGGCGCATTTGGGGGAAATCCTGAATAATGTCGTTTTCCGTCGCCGCATTTCCCGAACTATGCTCATTTCAGTCTTAATTCTTGCTACCCACCAGGCAACAGCATCAACTTCACCTTTACTTTCTTCGCGATGTAACTATGTAAGGGAGTTTTTTTTTCACAAATCTCTGCGAATGTCTCACGAAGAATTCCGTGTTGAGAATTTTTCCTCCCTTGACAATGATAATAAACAAATAATAAATCTCTTGTAATAAAGCAGAAGAAAAACGTCATTATGTAAAAATAGCAACACATACAAAACTGCCGCGTAATAACGGTTAATGATGTACTGCGTTCTACAGAACAGCGAGATAATCCCAGTAAAGCCAGTGGCTTCCAAGTTCTTTACGCTCCTTCTTTACGGTCTTCCTTTGTATGTACTAAGCAGCTGTTGGTGCCCTTGACTTCATGCGTAACAAATTTAAATGCAAAAATAAAAATAGAGAAAATAGCAAATAAAGTTGTTTGTTGTTACTGTACTGTTATGTTCCTACATTTATATGGAAAGCTTGAGCTAAAAATAGGGCGCTTAGATTTGTCATGAAAATAAATAGTGGAACAGCTTGGGATATTTGTATTTAAACACCTAGACAGGTGGAATTATTCATCGGTAGTTCGGAAGCGGCATAGAATAATCTTTAGGTACCTTCATTTCTAAAGTTTGGAGGGGGAGCATGGCTGCTGTAAATGAAAGTGTAGCCGAGGACTCGATTGTGTCTATTTCTCGACGTTCTCAAGAGTTGGAGCTTTCTCACAGCATATAACGGCGTATTTTACATTTGGACTTACACCTAAGCTCATTTAAGTCCAGCTCAAACAAAAACTGAAGCCAGCTGATCATTCACTCTACCGTATATAAGTTGATTGAATTCGTGAATAACAAGCAGTGGACTCGAGGGATAATCGATTTGTCGCATCCGAGCATCAAGAGTCCTTGAATTATTGAACATACATTATTACATATAAAAAAGTTATTGTCTGGTACGCTCTTCTCCAGACTATAGTTCTTTGAAAACTACAACGGCGATACTGCTTATGTCGATTCGGAGCCTTATGGTCCTATGATAACCGACATATTTAGCATGCAATAGAAGAACAATATGTGGTTTCAACAAGATGGTGCCACATGCCACACAATGCTAGCGAATATGGCTTTATTGTGAGAGAAATTTCCCCATCACGTAATCTCTCGTCCTGGCGATGTCAATTTTCCACCCAGATTGCGCGCCTTAACACCGTTGGGCTATTTTATGAGGGCTATGAGAACTCGTTAGTACTACAAGACCAGGCTTAAAACCGCCATATCTGTACCAAACAGTGATCGAAAGTAACAAAAATTCGCGAGGCGATCATTTGAATAAGGAAGTGCACAAAATATAAAAAAATGATTTTCATGGAAAAATTTATTTAAACTCATTCAAGGCTCCGCACCAAGTAGTAGGAGAGGAGTGATGTGTCCTTTGTAGAATTAGGCCATTATTCGGCAAGAGAGGACTTTACATTTCAATTGTTGCGGACGCTTTCATTGGGCGAAATTTTGAAAAGAAAGTTGATGTGGGGCCAGCTCTTGCCGTTTGGTTATACTTTGAACGTACACTTGGCATTCGCGCTTTCTTATAATCGACTCCCTATTCTATTCTTTGATGGTGAATTCGGGCTCATCATCTCCGGATATTTCACTTCCACTACTATTTAGCAGGCAGAAGAAATGTGCTCGCCCATAAGTTCAGCATACTATGAACTACAGTCCCCAAATCAACTCTTGGAATGCTCTGCCAGTATGCTTCAGTCTGGAAAACTTCGGTAAGTCGCTATATCTTTTTAAGAACTTTCGGCAAATTTTCAAGCTCTTCGTATTGTTGTATGTATTACGGCCTCTCTCTCTTTTTCTATCGGCAAAGGCATCTTAAATTTTCCTTTTAATTATATACCAATTACAACAAAGCTCCACTGCAGTAGGATAGAACACATCGTCTAGCACTTTTTCTAACATTGTCGAAAGCCAATGGTTTTTCCAATGGCGCTATGTAGAGAGCTTGAAGTATCGTTTTACAGTTCCTTTACACCCAGCTGTTGATGAATGTTTTCAGAGAGTTGAATAGAAAACCGGCTTACTGTCTGTCTGTCCGCTGCGATTGTAGCTATTCAAAGTAGAACTTTCCTTGTGTTGGTTAACGAGCGTTCTTAACTGTAAAGAGCCGGGTGCTTCTCTTGACTAAGACAAGAAAGTGATCCGATCAACGTTAGTTTCTTGGTGCGGCCTGAAACTCAGGATCGATATTTGCCGCCTATCAGAACGATAATTTTTTCAGTTTTCTCGATCCTCAGACAGTACTACAGACCTGAAAACTGGTAATACAGACAACCATCATTCGGGTAGATCAGTCTCAATCTATTTGAATACATTTCGTCATGAAGGCTTAGTATTCCGTTTATTCTATATATAATTGGCGCTCTCTATCCGCTGAAGTGATTTTTCGGCCGCGCTTCTCCCCTAACTTATGATTTTGCATTTTTATGTATTTTTCAGTAAATGAAGAGACCTACAGTTTTACTAAGCCGCCTCCGAACGGCTGATGATTTTTTTATTAGGAGACTTTATTTAATGTCCGAAATACACTCGGAGTGGTGGAAATTCCCTGCCGAGGGGCGACCGCAATTAAAAAATCTAACTTAATTTTTTATAACTTTCTGGATGTTGGTGGCACCGGAGCTTGCACCCGAGCCTTCCGAATGTATCGAAGATATCTCCTTTATCATTATTATGATAAAATAGTCAAGCATAATCCTGACTTTATAGCCGGAGCAGTCCTCAGTGGTACATTCTAGACACTCCTGCACATTGCCTTCTACTTTCGCCGGGGCATGGAGCTTAAGCCAGGACTTAAAAAAGGAGTCTCTCTCCATTTTGCGGTCCCTTATATAGCAGCTGATTTCACTAGAATTTACGCGCTTCCGACTTTGTCTTGTGCATGGAAATTTGGGGAGAGCGCTGTGGTACTTTAAATTGGCTTTAGTTATACGAGAACAGCAAGCAGCTGGAGAGCGGCACATTTCCAATGCATGGAACGTGCATTCCAGAATCGTGATCGTTTAAACCTTTGAGATAGGCTTTGTTCAAAATGGAGTCTCTCAATGTGAGTTTATTGATTTTATTTTTTAATTGGGGTGGAATTTTTATGTTGTGGGTGCCAGACACTATGTAGGCTTTCTTAGTTTAGCTCGCCCCCAAACGAATATTTTCTTTCTACCGAATATTCTAGGTAGAAGATCAAAAGATGCGAGCGCCTTCCGATAAATGACATAAATGACAATCAAAAGGCTGCCTCACTTGGTTGGATTGCTACATTTCGTCCCGTCCACTAATTTTTAGTTATGCCTGTAACAATTTACTTGGACAATACATACTTATTTATATAGTGGGAAAATTTTGTTTTCAATTACCGGTATATGGACGTGAAAAAGTTAAGAAAACGTGTATTCCAGCGCTTGCTTGGCGGAGTTCATTTATCTTCTTAAAAGCTGCATTTACCAAATATTTTCCGACACGAAAGTTATTAAAAAATAATAAAAGGAAAACTTTTAGAAGAAAGCACAGCTGTTAGAAACTAATGAGCTTTTGCACGAGAGCTTAGTCTTCCAGAAGATAAATATAAATTACTTTTTCAGCTTTCGTGTGACATAAAGTTTGTGATTAGAAAAAAAATTAATTGTTCTGGTTTTGTTTTTGTTTTTGTTTTTTTTTTTGCAATCATTTTTGCAACCAATTTGGACAAACTTTACTCAAACTACGCGCTCATTAAAATATTTCACAGCCTTTGCGTTCAATTTTAATGACGTTGTTGGCCTCAACTAATCATCATTAAATATATATCTGCCAGTTAGCAAGGTAGGTGGCAACGCCAGGCACACTTCACCATCTTGTTGATCAAAATATAAATATTTTACACTCCATATAATTAAATCAAGACTCCATACAATTTACTAACAGTCCGAGAGAGACGAACGGACACAGGAACAGGCAAGTTCATGCACACAATTGCATAACCACAAGTGACAGGTCCTCGCCATGGCATCACTTGCCGCTGGCTTGCTTTGTTATTTATTCACACTACACTAAGTAAATAAATTTAATAACATTATTAGGTTTCTAACACCAACTAAGAGGGCACGAGCGCTCATACATAACAACCTACGCCCACAAATTTAGCTCCAACTTGTAAAGGGTGATTTTTTAAGAGCTATTGGAAAGTTAAATAAAACACATAAAATTCAAAAAAATGCATGAAATATTTATTTGAAGCGATAGTATGGTCCATATAATTTAATGTTCGAAGATTATTTCATGGAAATGTGACCGTGATTGCGCCTCAAATGGTCCATCCGCTTAGTCCAATATTGGCATACTCTTTCCAACATTTCGGCCAATATCTCATGAATTGAAGCTTCAATGTTGTCCTCCAACGCGTCAATTGAAGCGGGCTTGCCTGTAAAGACATACGATTTAACATAGCTCCACAAAAAGGAGTCTAAAGGCGTTAAGCCGCACGATATAGGCGGCCAACTGACCGGTCCCGAACGTGAAATAAAATGTTCACCGAACACGCCTCTCAATAAGACCATTCTTGTTGAAACCACCTGACATGCAAGTCAAGCTCTTGCATTTCGGCCAAAAAAAAGTTTGATATCATCTCACGGTGGCGCTCACCATTCACGGCTACATTACGATTCGCATCATCTTTGAAGAAGTACGGTCCGGTCCAATGAAGCCACCAGCCCATAAGCCGCACTTGCATGCATTGGTAGCTCTTGCAATGCTTCTGGCTGATCATCACTCCAACTCAGTTTATTTACGCACCCATTAAGCCAAAAATGAGCTTCGTCGTTGAACACAATTTTTTCAATAAATTTTTTTTGATCTTACTTAACAGAGCACACATTTTGATAACGAAATTCAATAATTTGAAAGCGTTGTTAATTTGTAATGTCTTACATTTTTCATTCATGGTTAAATTATAGACCAAACTGAGGATGTTTAACAGTGATACAAAACTGGGAACGTGCGCCTGCTGTTTGAACCAGTATTGTCAAAGAGATAACAGCTAAAAAGTCACCCTTTATGTTATATAGTATTAATAATAGTTGTCTAGTTATATTCTCCAGCAAAGTGTATGGCAACCCTTCAACTGAGTAATAATAAATACATTTTTTTTCTTCTCTTCTCCCCCTCTCTCTCTCTATCTCTATTTCTCCCCACAGCAACTCTTCAGCCTCTTCGGTGGGCGGCAGTGTCGGTGCAACCATCACTTCGACTTCGGGCATTGGTTCAGCGCTCACCACACATACCAATGGCGCTAGTGGCGGTGCTGGCAGCGGTCTGGGTCTGGGCGGTCATACCTCCTCGACATGCTCGGCCACAACGAAGACACGTTCCTATGACCTGTACAGCGCCGAATTGGATGTTTATCGGGAGAAGCGGCAACAACGTAATTTCGGTAGCATGGCCGCAGCTCAAATCCTCTGCCTGTGTCCATTGATGATTTTACGCTTCGCCAGACTCTCCATGGAGGAGACCTACGAGAATCAGAAACATTTTGATTTCACCTATTTGATGTTTGTGTGGATCGCATTTTTGCCCACTGTCATATTTCCATGCATTTATGCATCGCAGATATTGCCCAGGTGAGTAGTGGTGGTGGTGTAAACTTACTATGCATGAATTTGTTAGATTGTACGTACATACATACGTGTATGTATGAATTCCTATATACTACTGAAAGTGAGCGTATTCCGAGGAATGGTAAAATTAATTAGTCAAATGGCAAAAGGGTTGTGCAGACAAGGAGCTTTTGATGCGAATTGCGAAACGAGTCAAGTGTGTGTGTAATGTGTAGCAGCTGGCCTGGTTGAAAGGAACACAGAAAAAGAGAGAGAGAGAGAGAGAGAGAGAGAGAGAGAGAGAGAGAGAGAGGGAGAGAGGTAGAAAGTGTGTGATGAATTGTTAAAGGATTATAAATCATTTGTACCTCAAGTTTTTGCTGTAACTGTGGTATTTCAATGCTCCAAGGCGTATTGAGCCCAAATCAGTAGGTCTCACAAAGTGCTGGCTGATAGTTAAAAATGCTTTGAACTGAGAGAAAGACACCTTTTCAGGAGAAAGCTACGCTCTGAAAAGTGGCAGACCTCTTTGCCGTTCTTGGAACTATAAGAGAAATCTGCAGTCGTGTGTGCTTACTCTGGCGATAATGCAAATTCATTGTTATTTGATTGGTTCCCTCTCTCAATTCAGATATGCCGTCGAAGTGCATTTTCAAATGGGCATACTCTCCGTTTCGTCGATGTGGACTTCTTTTAAAAGTTAAATAGTGCCGAAGTTGTTAAGCAGCAACACTCTCTCTTTACATATTCTGAATTTGCTGAGCTCCATCTTGCGGTTTTTAGATCTCTCACATTTATTTCTTTACCAAATACGCGACTCCAGGCGATGTGAAATCCGAGGGATGTTCAAACTCTTATAAGGAAATATGAATTCGTGGGAAACTATCAGTAAGAAGATCTTGCTCAAAACCTACTGGAAATTGGTGTGAGAACTGACTAGTAAACTACTCACCTGACGTGCGTAATAATCCTTCATTGTACCCCGTCTAATTCAGGATTCGGAATATTATATCCTGACAGCAAGCAATAAGAAGTCTTTAAGAGTATCAAAGAAGAAATAAAGGTCTGGATGTATTATTGGAAGTGCTACATTCGAAAGACTTTCACCAAACTAAACCAATAAATTTAAAACTTTTGAATATACAGATCACATAAGACGACCAGGACTGTCTTGAATGAATTTTCACCTAAATTTATCCAAAGCGTTACTGCACATGTGAAGTTATGTCTTCTTATTAATGATCTCTTTCCTTCATCAATTACGCTTCAAATATTTATTTTCTCATACCAAACTTAAGAAAGAATGCTGCCAAGAAGCTTAAAAATATATGCTGGATGATCATTTCTTCGCGACACCTTGGCATAAGTTCTTCAAACTGGGACTCTGTTCTCGCACTAAGTCGGGGCCCGCATTTGAAAACTCAGTTTCTATCCGTTAGAATCAACATGTAATTTCTATACTGGTGGATTCAGCTGAAAGGAACTTTCGTTCTATCAAATTAATGAGGGAGGGAGGAGTATTTTCGCTCTGTTCTCTTTCGCGTTAGTTCGGAACAACTGAAAAAATTCTGCAGCCTTCATGGCGACGAAAATGTTATGCTGAAAAGTACAAAAAACCTATCCGGCTGCACAAGAGAGAGTTCTATGGTTGGGTGTTCTAAAACAACACTTAGTTTTCTATGTTATATTCCAGCTTCGGAATATATCCTTCTCATACCGATTGTTAAACAGGGTTACATGGGAAGAGGTGGTTGTCGAACTGCGAGTATCGAATTAAGGTTGGAGTGGACCCATTGTGACATTAGGATAGTAGTTCCTCAGCTCCTTTTTCATGCACTTGGACTTCCATGCCCCAACATGCCGAAACTTACTTTTGCTTTGAGCAAGGCAGTCACGTACCAAATCCTAGGTTATCTTCCTAAATGAGTCCCAAACATTCCTTCATACTGGACTGTTAGGTGATGTCCCATCAGGATCTTAATAAATCCCAATTGAGAGTTTTAGATGCTCATATTTCGTTCAAGATTTCCTCGACTCGCGAGCGAACAAGTTTTGTCCAAACTTAACCTGGTTTGTCTGTAAACCGATTCCTTTAGTGAATGCAAATGTATTTTTTTTTTCGAATGATCCTATCTAGTCGTAACTTACCTGCGAATTTCGTCCTGCAAAGCTTCCTCTTTGTCTGTGTGACCAGCGAAAAGTTATTAGCCACGTGATCGCCCCTCGGCTGGGATCGGTTACGCACGGAGCGTATATCAGCCATAAAATAAAAGTTTGGATTAAACTGTAGCTTCCGTCATGTGTTGGTTAAAATATCAAAACGCACTGCAGAGATTGGAAGTGGAGCTCGGACGAAAATCGCTAGAGGAGGTATAAAGTTCCAGTCTTCTTGAAAAGTTATCTTATTTCCTGGTAATAGTTTCGTTCCTTACTTGGCGTCGTAGCAACACCAAACGATCCGTCAGAAAGGAGCTTTCCGAGCCCTTCGATGTCAATTGTGACTTCAGAATAGGGGATTCCTTTTCGTGTGACTTCTCTAATTTACTGCTGAATAGAGAGGGTATAATCTTCTATAAGCTCACCAACTACGCTGTGAGTTCTGCTTTCTGTAAACTGGATAAGGGTTCTTGGGCCTGGTAGTGAGCGCGACGCGGCTCCCATTGCACTGTTGATAGTCATAACTTTGAAGCCGTAAATAACTTTGCCTTTTCTTCAACCAGTTTAACCACTAACAACAGTATTAGCTTAGAAATCCAACACATTATCCCTCTTTTCAATAGGTGCTGCTTTGCACCAAGCAGGCAATTGAAAAGTAAAGTCCTCTCTCGGCGAACGAAAACCAAACAACAACAACAAGTCCAAGTCGGCTCTAGGAGTCTTCGAGAGAGAAGTGTGATTGTGTGATTTATGGCCTTTTGAGCCTTTGCAGCGGCGAATTCCGCAGACGATGGAACGATGAGCTGTACGAGTTAAACGGCGACATTGACTTGGTTCGGCGTATCAAGAGACAGTGGCTACGTTCGTTGAGCATGTGATCCAGATGAATAAAACACTCCAGCTATGAAAGTTTTCGATGCAGTATTCGCGGTCGGGGCGAGGAAGACTTCCATCCTGTTGGAAAGACCAGGTGAAGAATGACCTTTCTCCTTCATATTTCCAATTGGCGGTAAACAGTGAAAAGAATGAATTTATGGCTACGGCTACAATTGTGTCAACAGTGTCTAGGCCAGTATATTAAGGTTTCTTTCCGGGTCTCTAATACTCGTCATACTTTTCTTCCATTCTCTTCGCTTTCATTGCTATCGCAAAGAACTTCCTGTAAGTCAATCAAGTCATTTCCAGTAAAATTAAATATTGAACAAATCACAATGGCTTTTCACCTGGTCTTCCTCGAAAGGAAATTAAAAATTTCCTTCAAATGTGCCATTTACCTCTCACTCACGCTCAACTTCTGCAGCGACTCCTCGTTATTACTGCTTTTATTGTGCAATTTCTATTATAAACACAATGCCATAATGCTGGCTCGCCAAAATACCGTTAGTTGTTATTTCTGGCGTTTATTTTGTGGCACAAAAGCAAACAGAAACAAAGGGAAAGGCAGGACAAAAGATATTATGAAAAAAAAGTGCACATAAAATCAACAATGAAATTCAACACAGCGAAGTGAGGAAAATATTTCTTCAGAAGTCGAAAGGAAGGAGAGGCAAACAACTTGTTGATCCTTTGCGAGTCCTCTTTAGCTAATTTAATTACACTCTATTTATATGCATCAAGTCCAAATGATGAATTTTTATGCAAATTTATGAGTTTTGAAATGAAAGCAAATCTTCGTTGAAATTAAAGGGTTGAAAAGGCTAGATTCTGCCACCGAGACAGATGGAGCTGAGTTAACGACTTTGTCATGAATAGGTTTTTAAACAACGCAGCAGATGGAGTAACAAATGAATCACTGATGACGATGCAATTTTCTTTAAGACCGTCACAGTAAATTTATTTATCAATTTTGAACGGAAGGCACTTTCATCGCGTTTTTTTTTTAATCTATTATGGCAGCAGTGTTTAAGAAAAATAAGGTGTAATGCCTGACTTATGGTCACAGATGATGCCTTAGGTCAGTTATGTATGGTCAGGTAGTTTTACCTACTTTAACGCTGTCCTTTCTGAACTCATGGAACTAGGAAAACCGCCACCATCACTCCGAGTATCCAGTACAGAGACTACAAGTTTTATAACTTCATCTTTTTAATCCATCATAAGCCGATAATTTTCTTAGGATCACCAATGACCTAGTGACCTCCACACGCTCGTGGCACCAATGTTTGGAGTTTGCACAGCTCTGTCTACACCATCTCGCTCAAAACTCTAAAGTTTTCCGCCTCTAAACTAACCTAATTCGGCAAAGTATAAGGGATTTGCAAAGAAAGAGCCTTAGGGTTTCCGGTTGGCCCTCTTGTCTGCAACTTCTGCAGAAGTCGTTAGATCGTACGCCCGACTTCTCTTTTCTCTCATGTCCTGGTCACCTCATAAACATTTTGATGCAACAGTTCAGTTCACATCTTTGATGTTTAGTTTACAAGCGGAGGTCGGCATGCCCTAACGCTTCCATGATACAGGCAAGTTTAACCGCAATGTTGCTATCCGGTATCTTACTGCTTCGGGCAACTAAACCGGGTTCAAAGAGAATTGTTTAACCATAACATTGAGCGATCTGCGGCAAATCTATATGGAAAAATACCACAGTGTTTCCTTAACGAAAGGATTGTCAAATATCAAGCACCTTAAGTGAGGCACCGGCTCGGTTATCTACAGTAGCAGCTAGTATTATCCTCTCCCATTGGAAACTTCTTAAGATACGAGTAAGCCCGTGCTTTATTTCTTTAAATACGGAATCTTTACCAGCCAACATATGAGGCATTCTTTGGTATTGAACGGGTCGAAGAGGTCATTCACAACTCTGACTAAGGTGTTGGTGTTGTCTAGCGTCAGTTTACACAGCGAGGATATTAAATTTGGATACAGCGGGATAGAAGAAGCTCCTTACTGTGCAGTCAAAAGTGGCTTTAAAATCGACGAAGGGGTGGTGGGTGTCGATTCTTTTTTCACGGGTCTTCACCAAGACTTGACGCAATCAGTTTGTTGACGGAGGGCTTCAGTCTTTCACACAATACGCTCCACAGGATCATATATGGGATATTGTCAGCTCTTCACAGCATTATTTGAATAGCTCTGCCTGTAAGCCGTCAGCCCGAGCCGCTTTGATGTTTTTTAAGCGGGCAATCGCTTAACGAACTTCGACTTGGTCAGGTAGCGGAACGTATGTTCCATAGCCATCGATTGAGATTTCGGCTTCACCATCTCCCGGTGTTTAATTTTTACTGCCGTCCAGCAGGCTGGAGAATTGTTCGCTCCATAAATGCAGTATACTCTGGTCATCCTTTACTAGATCACCCCTCTAGGTCCTAGAAGAGATTTCTCCAGTCTTAAACTTTCCGTAGGTCGTCGTATTCTTTCGCAGAATGTTCGAGCAGAATCTCTGTCGACCGGCGCCCCAAGCTCTACCCAATTCACGCATCTGTGCCTCCTTGCAAATGCTTCAAAACTCGGTGTCAGTCCCACCTCGCACCATTTGTTGTCTATGGCAAGGTTGTGAGATACGTAGTCTGTTCTCTCCACTGCGACACGGCAGTCTTCATCTTATTAGCTGTTTTGCGACCTTTCCGAAATTCGATAGTTTCGTTTGCAGTTGTACGTAGAGAGCTTAAAATGCCGTCCCGCAGGTCCCGTATGACGAGTTCATGATGAGTGTTTTCAGAAAGCAGAAGTGCAAGCCGATTAGAGAACCTCTTGATGTCCAACACAGAGGCGCGTGCGTATCTTCGCTGCGACAAGATAGTTATGCGAGTCAATGTTAGCACCTCGGAACGTACATACATCTGATACACTGGAGACATGTCTTCCATCTATGACAAAATGATCGATATGGTTGAGAGCTTTTCAATCTGGGGACAACCAAGTTACCTTGGTAAATTTTCTGGTGTTGGAATCTATTGCAACAGACAACCAAATTTCAGGCCCCGTCCAAGTCGATCAGCCTCAGCTCATTAGGGGATGTTTTGTTGTGTAGGCTGATCTTTCCGACTGTTTTGCCGAAAATACCTTTTTTGCCCACCCTGGCGTGGCGAAGCAGCGTTCATAAGTGTGCCCGAGCCTATCGTAAAAAGGCATCCCTGGTCAAATCGTCTTTCTCTTCCATCGGGACGTTGGCGCAAATCAACGTAGTGTTAAACATTTTCGATTTGACGCGCATTGTGGCGAGACGTTTATCCAGTCTCTCTTCCACCACGAATCCGACACCAAGTTTGCGCTCTTTGTACCACCTTCTTCCGTCCATGGCACTTCTTAGACGGTTTTTATCACATAAAATAAAAGTTCGTCGTAAAAATCCTACAGCCTTCCGGAGGCTGCTTTGAAAAACTCCAAAAACATCCGAGCGATATTAAAGTCTATTTTCTGTTGCATGTTATTGACCTTCAGAACATTATGCGTATGAGTACAAGGAAATTCGTTGCACTGAGATTAGTGATATTTCTGATAGAATCTGTACAATAGAAGTTTCTTGGTAAATATCTTCCAGTTCCGGAAATCCGCTGTCTAGTTTTTCTTTGTCCTGGGTAAGCTTTAATTTTATCCATACCTAATGGGGTCCTGAATAGATTTTTACTTAGGCAATGTTGAAAACGGTGCCCAAAATAACTAGTACTGGGTAAATATGGACCAGTCTTTAATTGACTTGAATATTAATTTCCCCTGCAAAGAATTGATAGTTGTATGAAACCGACTTTTTGAGACAAAAATATCAGCAATTTCGTAGGATTTAATAGCATTTTACATACATACACATTTTTTTGCTGGCCTTAATTTCCGAACAGTTGAATTTACTTAATCTCAAAGCATCGTCGATTTGCATGTACAAATATATATATACAATATTAACAAACGCACAGTAATGACGACTACAATGACTTCCAATTACAAATCACGTCCTTTTTGAGTGAAAAGGCCCATAGCCAGAGATAAGCACAGATCCAACATAGGAAGGATATTTATTTTAATTAAATCTCGCTTTATTGTGCTCTCTCTAGCAACCCATAAATACATACAATTTTATCTAGAACTACATATTTACTTAAATTTATTTACAGCAATGTAAGCGTTATTTATTTTTCAACTTTTCTTGCTTTCCCACAGAGACGAACAGGAGCGTATACGCGGCTATTTCCGTCTTTCCACTAAACGTTTGCATAAATCGCGCAGTTGCGGTGGTGGCAGCGGCAGTGGCCAAACGCCCAGCTCCAGAGAGGACTCAATCGAGAAGGATGACAATACAAATGCCACACCAGCCGCCTCGATACTCGTGAATGGCGAGGAGTATTTAAATGGGGGTGGGAGTATAACCGGCACGGCGTTGGTGACACGTCAGGAGCTCAATAGAGCAGCCAAGTTCCAGCAGCAGCAGCAACAGAATCACAACAATCGTCGACAGGCGGGCGGCAGAGATGCGCTGAGTAACATTGAAGGGACGGCAGGTCAGCAGGGCTATGGCAAGCAGGCGGCATCGTTGGCGAAGGATGTGCGTGTGAAGAAGAATGATGTGAAGATTAAGATAATATCGGATGGCGGCAAAGGCAATAAGTCAGCAGGCAGTGTGAGCCAATTGCAGGCAATGCACGTACCGAAAAGCGGCGGCAGCGGCGGCAGTAGTCGACGCGAGAGTGTGTCCGGTGGTGGTGGTGGTGGTGTTGGCAGCGGCGGCGCGAGCAGTGGTGTTGGCGAGCGTAAGTTAACGCTGGGCTCTTTGGATAACTCCTGTTCGAACATGACCTCGTCCACGTATTGCAATGGCGTCAGCAGTTTGCTGGAGGACGACGGTGGCGCTAGCAATTTCGGCGATGGCGAAGACTCGTCCATTGTGAGCGGCATGATTGTGTCGAGCGGTGGTGCGAACTATACACAGCACAAGAAATGGAGTCTCAGTGGCCAGCCATTGCTGCGCAATAAAGATTTATCTTTTAGCGATTGCAGTAGCTTCTCGCATATGGATACGGCAAGTACATTGGAGCGTGACATGGAGATAATTGACATGTTGGAACGTGAGCGCAGCATGGACATACAGGAGATGATTGAGCGTGAGCAGCGCGGCGAAACGGTACGCATGACGGTGGGCGAGCGACGCAAGTTGCCCGATATCGATAAGATATATCAACGTTCACCCAAACCAAAACTTGATCCGTACAGTTATGACGTGTCTACACATGTCACGCCGACGCCATCAACGGCGACCGTCAAAGATAGCACACAAAACTCACTGCTCTGCACTGATCCACTGCAGTCGAGCGGCGGTATGAGCAGTAGTGGCAGCAGCACGAATGATGGTGCTTACAGTATCGCCTCCACGCTCACAGGTGACGAGCGCTTAGCGGCGCAACGTTTGGCACGTGAGGATGAGGGTGAAAGTGGTATCGATGTCGACGAGGAAGTGCCGTCCGATTTCTTTGACAAGTATACGCCGGGCGCCGCCACTGCCGTGCCGTATGCGGGTAGCGACGGCGCAGCAACGGCCATCACGCCCACTTCCTCCTACCAGTATCAGTACTCGCGTCGACTTAGCCGCAAATCGTCGCATCACAGTCAAGGCTCAAACTCACACTCACGCTCATCGAAACGTGACAGCTTCAATTCACTGAATGGCAGTGATCTCATAGCGGGCGCTTTTGGTGAACTAGATCCGACGCAACCTTTGTCGAAGATGTCCGTCATGGAAGGTCGTATGCGTCGAAGTAGTGGCCGTACGGCGAGTTTCTCTTCCTCGTCGCGCAGTTCGATGAAGTCGCGTGACTATAGTCATGGCTCTTCACATTCAGCGCATCCAGAGTTGGACTTTAGGGAGAATATATTCGCTGAGCTGTAAAGGAGTGAATAAGTAATAACTCGATTTTAGGTGCAGCGATCTAAAAGAGGCGTTTAAGCTTTATGGAACGAGTTGCCTAATGGAGTTAACGTGTGCAACGAAAGAAGGTTTGAAAATTATATGAATAAGGTGTAGCTTTTAATACGCATCAATAAAAAAAATCCTTGTAGTAAAAATTAGAAATATGGAAGCCCTGATAGCGCAGTTTTTAGTAAAGTAGGCTAGTGGCACTTTTTTAAAGTATAAAAGAGGCTTAGAGGAAAGGAGTTTAGGTGTAAGTAATTTTAGGAAGAAATTTTTGAGATAAGAAATTTATACGGTTTGTATCCCTGAGTAAGAAGAAATGTAGTTTTAAGCTCGAGTTGAGCACTTTTGATGCTCTTAACGGTGTTTACGCATTATGGATTTAACTGAGAAGTAAAGCTCGAAAAGCGTTGAAAATTAAAGCTCAACTCAGAATGAATAAGAAAAAGCACGAACGAGGAAAGATGCGAAAAAGTCTCAGTTCGAGTCTCAGCCTGGACGGTGAGCTTTCGACGAACTGATAAATTCAGTAGATCTCTCACTAAAATCGAAGACTTTAGAGAATCAGGAAAATTAATCTTTTGATAACGAATATAAGAATTTGTCCCAATGAGTAGTTAGAAAAAATGTTTATATAGAGAAGAATGAATTATAGCTTACCACGATGCAAAATGAGAAAATGAAACCTTCATTTGTTGTTTTAAGGGTTAATACTAAAGATAGCTCCGTTCTTTCGTAATTAATTAATTTTTTTTTTCGAAGAAGTCAGACACCTCATCTGTAAGTGTCTTTCTTTTTTAAAGAGAAAGCGTAAGTTGAGTAACAGAGGATGATAGCATGTTAGAGTCCCGTGTGTGTAAGACAGCTCCAGCGATTGTATGAAAACCCGAACTAAACCAAGACGATCTCATTCTTGAAATCCAACCTCTCTCTGAAAATCAAAGAGATAAGTTAGAGAGCGCGAGGCACGAATCGTAAATTTTATAACGAAATCGCGATACTACTAAACTCGCAAAAAAAACTCTCTCCTTAATTTTTTGTTATAAGTTACCGAGAGAAACTGTACTCTTTTGAATTTTCCGTTGAGCTTAAACCTTAACCCTTTGAAAGTCACCGAAAAATCATATCACATAAATTGTGGATTTTAATTGACAAGAAAACTATCGATATTATATACTTCAGGCATGAATGGAGTAGGCCTTTGATTGTTGCGAGGTCCGCTGATGACATAACTTTTATTGGCAACTGAGGGGATAAGGGTCAAGTCGTATGACATACATAATATTATTTTATTGGCTCTTTTTGAGTATGACCAAAGCCGCCGATAGAACACAGCTCAAAACTTTGTCTTATCTTAATCTTGGTGAGCGATTATTTGATCTCCCTTTCAATAGGCAGTAGGTGTTGTCGAAGACATCTCATGTATGCATCGGCCGTACTATATGTAAAGAGTACAGTCGAGACTTTATGGAATGACGAGATTAGCAGATTTAGAGAATGCCTCCTTTCTCCTTCGTCCGCCTGTGCGTGTGTTATTCATAACTCAATATTGAGATATTTTGATGAATAATTGCTAACACATAGCATGGGTCAAAAGTAAAGACGCTTTCGCAACGTCTCCCCACGCTTTTAATGGTAGTTTTTAAAGAAATGGGTGACTTATTCTTGTAAAAAAAAACTAAAGTCCTACCAAAATTTCCGATACACTAGAACTGCGGGACTTTATATAAATAACAGTTGAGCATCTAATTGTCGATTTCACCTAAATCTCGTCTTCTTTATTTGTTTTGACGCTGTCGTCCTACTCGACAGCAGTCTCAACCACTTACGTTCATATACTCTCCCGAATACGTCATTGTTACGACAGCACAAATACCTGATTCGCTCTTTCAATTTAAACGTGGGTAATTATCGATGCCTTCTCTAGTTCTTATCGAAATTTTATCATAACTAAAGAGATGAAAATCTTAAAAGGAAACACTAATAAACAGACAATTATTTAAACCAAACACTATTAGTTTATTAAAGAAGAAAAAAAAACATTCCGAATTCAACTCAAGGTTTTCTTTTAACTTCCACTTAAATATTTCATTTTCCATGCATTTTCAAATGGAACAAACAAGCGAAACCGAAAACTGTCAACTTGCGTGCCGGGAGTAATTCGCATTCGTAATTGAGAGTACGAACAATGTATTTCACGATGCCGTGGAAAAACCGTTTAACACCCACAAGCCAACCTCATGGGTTCTCTGATGCGTAATCACCAAGGCAACAGATAGCTTCACAGCTAAACTGTTAGGTCAACTAAACTGCAGGAGAAAAGAAACTAGTATGCCGAAATTCTAGCTAAATACTAGTATGTTGAAGATGAAATCATACCAGTTCGTTATTTGTAAAGAAGTCCACCAGTAATGGGAAAAAGAGTAATTCCCACCACTGTTTGTTGTTGTTATATCGGCAGACCGCGGCTGCATTGTATTCTCTGCTCTGTTCTATTGAAATGCGCAAAATGACATTAATTGTAGCATGGTATTGATAGCCGAGTGGTTAGAGGTTATCGTATGTAGTTAGTTTGACACGACTGAGTTTCATTTCTTAAAAAGTTCTGTTGAAGTGCGCAGATTTTACTCCTCCATATATCATGACGATAGGCTGGTGGTTAGAGATCTTCTTTGTGGTGTGTGAGGCTTTCGGTGAGGCGCCGGCAAACTGAATTTTATTTGATTTCGCTTGTATAATGAACTAGTATTAAATTAGCATGATACTGATGCACAGTAGGACAATCGTCAGCTCGTAGGATATCGCCGTGTTGAAGATAATAGTTGCTTACATGGAAAATAGTTGAAGATGAACTAATTGGTCTTTCTGACCGGTGAGCATGTGAACGTGTTTAAAGAGAGTCACTTTCCTTAAACTTAGTGATATGTGCGTAAAAAGAATCAACCATGAAATTTTGGAGTCTTAAGGAACACATGACGTAGAAGTTTTTTATTGTTATTTATAGTTTCACCACTCATTCCTAGAGAAAGATTCATAGAATGAGTGTTATATGCTATAGTTTGCATATCCGAGTTACTCTGAAAGTCAAATGGCTACAGTATGTCAAGCTAAGCTAATATTTAAATAAAATTGGCGGTCAATTCCTTTAAACTCTGCAGCGTTTGTGGAGAAAAGCAGTAAGAATCCATATATTTGGAATTGGGTAGGTTCGCGCATTGTAAGCGAAAATTTATAATAAAAATGAAATAAAATAAAATTTTTGCATAATCCATAGAGTTAGGTGTGTGAGAAACAATTTTGTATCTACTTTGTATAAGTGTTTTTTGATGGCCTAAGAAAACAAGGAAAATAATAATAAATATTATATTTTTGTGTAAAATAATTATTATTATTTTACTATCAGATCAAGATTGCACAAGCACATCCGGCCGTGAAATTTGGCAATCAAAAGTTGTTTTATGATGGCTCCTAACGCCAAATCCGATTCTTCAGACCGTTTTCTAAGTTTGGTTCTATAGGGTGTTCTAAAATTTCCGCAATATCGGAATAAATCTTGCCTTTTAAACTAATTGTTTGTGGACTTATTTGCAATCCACCTGTGACTTTTATTAAACTCGTAAATAGAAATCGAATGGTACTAAATCACACGTTCTAAGTAGCCAATTCTGATCCCCACAATGAGAGAGTGCCCAACCTGAAAATGTCTCATGTAGTAATTGAAGTGTTTCAAGGGCTGGGTGACATCTGGCACGGTCTTGTTGAAACCACTTATTGCTCACATCAATATCAACCAATTTTGCCAAAAAGAACAGGGTTATAAAGTAGCGACGTCGAGCACCATTAACAATAACATTTTCAGAAAAGTGCTGATCCGACCGACATCCAAAAATTAGAGAAAATAGATTCAAATAAAGAATTAAATTGGCGATCGCCCTTCGTCAGGGAATGTACGTGGTAGTTATTCGTATAAGAACATGAGGAGGAGGGGAGCTGGAGTATGAATTTTACTTATTTATATGTTTATTACTGATAACTTAGATCATGGCTAAACGATTTTGTTTGAAGCAAGAAGAACGCGTGTCAGTTAAATTGTTAAAGGAAGAATCGTACTCAAATCGTGCGATTTCAAGAAGACTTGGGAGGTCAGGGAACGTAATAAGTAATTTTGTAAAAAAAAGATAATAATTTTGGAATAAAGATGGCAACAAAAGGTAACCAAAAACTGACACTCCGCCAAAAAGGGCAAACACGCGAAGAAGCAACACAAAATAAACTGAACCGCAGCCAAATTAAAACGAAGTTAAAGGTCGACGTAACGTCTCGACAAATTGCCGGGGTGTTCAACGCTTCTCGTTTAACGTTTAACAGCACATCACAAGCAGGTTAAGATTTGCCAAAAAATAGATGTCCTAGACAAAGGAGCGGCAGAATGTTATTTTTTTCGGACGAGTCAAATTCTATTGCTACAGTTGTTACTGGCACGATCTAACCAAACAAAATGTGGGAAAGTCGTGATGTGGGTAGCATTTTACTACAATTCCAAGCTTAATCTGAAAACCCACAACGTGCCGCAGAGACTTCACAGCATACACAGACCTACTGCAACAATATCTCACTCCATTTGTAAGGCAAGCGACAGAAATCGATTACCAATTTCAACAGGACAACGCCTCGATACATGCTTCTAAGCAAACACAGGCATGGTTGGAGCGCCAAGAAGTGCCTTTACTTAGTTGACCGGCATGCAGGCTTGTTTGTAACCCCATAGAAAATCTGTGTGGATAATGGCAGGGAAGGTTTGCGGTAATGGGCGTCAATATAGAAGCGTCAATGAGCTAAAAAACCTTACTTCAGCAATGTTGGCCTGACTTTAGCAGAAAAGAGATTTGCTCAAAAATCTTATTGAGTCTATGTCAAGTCGCACTTTTTCTGTAACCGACAACTGGTGTGGCTATAATTAGTACTAGTATTTAGTTAAAAATTTGAGTTTTATTTTGTTTTTGATACAAAGTGGAGTGCGCTTGAATGAACGTCTACTTAAAATTGCCAATTTCTTACTAATTTTTTCCTAAATACTGTTGAATTGATAAAACATTAAGTTAAAAATATGTAAACAATAAAATGGATAACTTCCCATTTTTAATTGCAACAATTAAAGCTTTTATTTATTAAAAGTCAACAAATTTGTGTGCGCTTTTACGAATATCTACCATTTAACTCTCAGCAATCGATTATTTTTAGAGCGGTAATACTCCTCGCCGCTGGCGCTCAGTTTCCACGGTTTGTTACGAAGTACAGCTTAGATCTTTGCCTACCTGACGGTGTAAGTATCATTATTCTTCGCGCGTGCAGGGTATATGTTTTTTTCCATGTTAAAAAAAGTGCATGAAAGAAATCGTTTTTCCCCTAGTATTCGGCTCCGAAGCAGTGTAGACAACCGGTTTAAATATCCTACAATATTTCGGCCTATGAAATTTCGTTGAGTATGGTTCCAGGCTGGTCGAGTATAGAAGAGACGCTTAAATGAACACGGTTGCATTTTGTAGCGAGCATTACGTAAGCAGGAGAGAGTTTCTCTTTTGGTAGTCAAAGTGAATAGAGTATGATTCGCTCACTGGCTATAAGAAATTTCAGTGAATATTTTGTTATTTTTAAATTTCAAATATGATAAGTATTTCTCTAAAATACATATAAACATAAATAACTTCTGATTTTAATTTGTGGCTTAATTCTTTTATTGTGAAAATGCATGAAAAAGTTAAGATTTTACTAAGCGATTTTTTTACCAAAAAACAATTTTTTATTGTTAAACAAAAAAGCGAGCAAATTGTGAAATGTGAAATCAAATTCAATTTACTAATAAATAAGTTGTTAAAAATTTAAAAAAAAAAAATCAATATATACATAAAATATGAAAACGTAAGCACATTATATAATAAATTAAATTGTGTATAAATAAAAAAATAAAAATATTTGTTGCGTTTTTTGTCAATGTTAATGTGAAAGCACAAGTTAAATTAAATTAGAAAAAATATATCTGAAATGTTTAGTATTAATTAAATGTTAATAACAGTAAAAGAAAAAAAACTGTAATTAATTAATATTTTTTAAGCAAACATATTAACGTATTTATTAAAAATAATTATATGTTGTAAAATTTTATATGTTAAAAAAACAAAAACAAAAATATAAGTAAAAAAATATTTAATTCAAAAATTAAGGAAACATATGTAAAGGAGGAAATTACATACTTATTAATACATACACACTTAAGTACTTGCTTAAAAACGTATGTTTGTAATTTAAAAATGTACGATTGCATTTACACTGGACAAGTTTTTGATTTCATTTTTAATAAAGAAAAAGCAGATATGAGTATGTGCCAAGCTTTCAGTAGCTAAATAAAAAAATAATGATTTTTTCAAAAAAAAAATTTATTTAAACTCGAAAAAAAAAATTAAATAAGATGTGTGTTAATGGTTTTAAGTAAATTTTTTTGTATGTATTTTATATTGTATTTGTAAAAACAATATTGTTGTGATTTAAGTATTAAAAAACAAAAAAAAATCAAATGAAAATGTTAGATTTATACAGAACCGAGGACTACAACAATTACACAAATACAGAAACACTTCACGACTGCAATGAAGTCGCCAGAATATTGATTATGAGTAAAGATTTTTGTAATTACTAAATCACTGAATCTAAAAACCAATTTTTCCAAATCAAAAGCAACTATATAATTAATTTTTTTTTTATTTTGATAAACTTCAGATTTAATTTTCTACACTAAAAAATTTACTATCTAGCTAATGAACAAAACATTTA